TCTTGTTTCGTCGAAAAATTTTTTTTCGTGTGCTCTTGTTTCGTCGAAAATTAAAATTTGAATGAAAATATGCAGAATATGCTTAGCTTATTCATAATCATTTCATTTACTTTAACAGACTAATTCAAAAAAATGATTCTGGATGGATCTCAAAAACATTTATTAAGAGCATTACAAAGATTGCATAGCTAATGGAGTCACCTCACTAATATCGAAAGGGAAAAATGCTGACATTTACAAACACCGAGCTGTGAAAATGTTGAGATGTTAATAGGGTTGAATGTGTGGGTAGGCAATCAGAAAGCTATCACCCACGTTCTCATATATACCGAAACAATCACACATTCTCATCCTAACCCCTATTTGTCCACAACTAAGGTTTGTTGTTTATAACCACTAACTAAATATTTGGATCAAGGATTTCGATTTACAAATAAATTTTTCGTAGTGGTATTGGATCGTTGGTTGAATGATTTAACAATAGAGTTTAATTTGTTTCTTTGATGCCTCTTAGTCTATTCAAGAGAACGAAAGCAATTAGAATAAGCTACTTATATTCTTCATCTTTTCTTTCAATTTTACTTTTCGACGAAACGAGAACGCTACAAAAAATTTTTTCAACGAAATAGGAACACTGGAAAAACAGCTATATAAAAATTTTCGACGAAACAAGAAAATCAATTAAGCTTTCGACGAAACGAGAATTCACCATTTAGAATATAATCTGACTGATTATCTGATTAGTCATTCATGACAACTACTTATTAGTTTCTACTGTATTTTTTATCTCAAATTCATTTAACACTGTTAACAAAAAAAAAATTGAATATCATATTCGTCTATTTATAGGATTATTCGTATAAGAGAAGATGTCATTCAATATTATGCTATATGAAACATTGACACGGATACTAAAACCTCATATAGGGACATAAAATTAAAGGTCATTTCCTGCTTGTATATAAATTAATTTTTGTTGAAATTCAGAACTTATGAAACTTCTTGTATCCAGTTAATAGAACTTGACTCTAAACAGGTCCATTTTCAAATATCAATTTTTTTTTTTAACAAAATTAATTATTTCCTTTTTTCTATAAATAAATACGATTGAAAAACAAAGTAGAATTCTTGATGATTCGTTTTAATTGTGTCACTTATTACAGAGGAGAGTTTTTGATACGAGTTTATTTATCTCTAAATCATAGAATAAAATTTTTCCTCTCAATGTGGTAATAAATCTGAATTCGTATTAATTGTATACTTAGCTTAATTAAATCAAAATTTTAACGAATGTCTATGGAAGATCCTTAAAAAGTAACTAAGGAACGATAAATAAAATGTTTTCAATAGAAAGATTTATTGTATGTATAAAAGAAACTATTCGTTCAAGTGATAGAGCTTTTTCAAATGATGTATACATTTTTTCTTACGCAATCAAAAATCGACATAAAATCAAAAGTAATGGCTTGAAAATGAACTTTTTTTTTGAAGTCTATCACCACTGATCAAATATTATCTGAGACGTCATGCTGTGTATATGCTGCCCATTGAACGTTATCAAATTGAAATTTTAGCAATGAAAATTCGAAAAATAGTTAGCTGAATAGGTTTTTTTTTGCTTCTTTCACCTTTTTAATACTCGTATTCATCGTTCACAATTGAATCTAATTCAATTTATATTTGTGAAATAGTTTATTCAAATGACTTATTTTAATAATACAATCTGTTTAGTTTAGTTTGGAAAAGACTTTCGATTTAAGAGAGTTTGTACTGTTAGTAGTCTCAAAACTTTGTACTATATAATAATAACAGTTATTACATAACGAAAATACATTAGATGCCAGAAAGAGTTAGTTTCAAAGTGATAAAACTTTTAATTTAATCAAATATAAAAATTCAGAATTTTTTCTGTCACTTGAAAGATCTAGTAATTTTGTGCTCATAACACTTAAGAAAAGTGAAAAACTATACAAATTCTTGGTAATCAATAAACATTTTTGTATTTAGTTGTTGTGTAGTTCATGATATTTTCTAGTAACTTGATTTACAAAATATTTCAAATAGATATCGTAGAGTAATTTTACACTTTAGTTTATCCTAATGACTATAGAACTCTTCTACAACATTCTAGATATTAATTTTTGTTTAATAAGATTTTTAAAATCAATACTCAATTCTAAACTCTGTAGATCGTACTTCTATACAACAAAACAAAAAATTGAAAAATTTCCTTTGATAACAAACTATACTTTTTCATATTACACATAGGATTATTAAACATTTTATTATTTTCTTAGTCTTATACTTAATAAAATATTAATAAAAGTAAATGTTACATACCTGGTTTTTTCTTTTGTCGTTTCATATGTCTTTTAATTCGTTGTTGATCACATTGATTATTTTGGCATTTAGTCATTTTATCTAACATCTGAAGATACAATCATACAAAATCTTTTCATGTATACATAAACAATGTTTAACAAATGCTAACTACAATAATTTTTCCGATTTATTATTTGTTTTTTTTCGTCAACAAAGAAAAAAAAGAAAAGAAAAATTACAAGAACAATTTTGTTTTTTATAAGTGAATAATTTTAATCTGACAAAGAGTAAAAGATTAAATCTATCGTAATTTTATGGTGATATTTGATAATCTTGAAATGGTTGAATACGATATTGAACAAGTGATTCGAGAAACCTATTTTAAACAAAAATAAATGTAAAGAATAATTTTTTAGTTATTTTTTTTTTTTGTTTTTATGTATGTTTTAATTATTTTTACCATTCAGGTGTAAGAAAATGAACACCAATATGAATACATTTATCATAAATTTCTTTTCGATTAATTAAATATTCTTTTTCACAAAGAACAATACGTGTAGAATCTGTTTGTAAACGTGAAATATATGAATCAGTTGTATATTTAGCGCCAGATAATTTAATTAATTCAATTAATTCATCATTATTTACCATTTCTTGACAACCATTACATTTTAACATAATAGAAAAATTTTCAAATAAGAAAGTTTTTGGTAAATTATTTGGTAAAATACTTTGACGACTTCGTTGCATACCTTCAGATAATCAAAAACAACAAATATGTCAAAAAACAAAAATAAAGAAAAATAAACAAACCATGATGATCCGATGAAAGTGTTAAATCTCCTTGAATTTCAAATGGTTGTTCAGAAATTATTTTATTCATTGATAGACAACTATCAATCCAACGATATGTTACTATATACATATGATGTGCAACAGCTTGAATAACTTTTTTTGATAATGGACAAACAAGTGTTTCATCGTCTTCATCAGTTATTAAATGTGTTGTAAATTCATCAACAATATTAGATAATTTTATATTAAATCGAGAACAAAATTCTTTTAAACGAGTCTAAAAAGAAAAACCAATATATAAATTCTTGTTATATTAGAAGCATGAAAATTAAGTTCGAATAGAGAAATTTGATTTTGTTTTGCATAGAGTTAAAGATGAGATTATTCTTTAAAAAGTGATATAAAAATCAAGGATCTGAGGACAATCATTTAGAAATATCCGAACACACTTTGTAAGCTTGTCTTTCATAGAAATCTTTTTACTAGAATTTAAAGAAGAAAAGTCCTAATCTTATTCTATCTCGTTGCTGTTACAACTTTCGTGGTAATATTTGGAAAAAATCGAGATGATCATTATGATCTCAAATTAACATAAAATTTACAAATGATGAATATCAAATTTAATTAGAAAACAAACATTCGAAAATTCAATGAATAATAATATATGAAACTTGTCAACATTCATTTTTCTATACAAATAAAACTGTCTAAAAAACTAAAATAAACTATTACCATTTGATCATCATCAAGACAAGTACTTGTTAAAATAATTTCTTGATCTTTTCGAAATTGTTCATCATCTTCATTTTTAATATCATTTTTAATAAATTCTTGACTAGTATTATTATGTTTTATACTATTAATTGTTTTCAATATATGATTTGATGGTCGTATAATTCTTATTGTACGATCTGATATTAATTCATCATCAGTCATCATAGATAAATTTGTTGATGTTGATGTTGTTGTTGTTGTTGTTGTTGTTGTTTGATTTACTGTTGATGGATTACATTGTACACCAATTGAACGATAACATAAACCACTAAATAATGATAATGATTGTTGAACTAAAATTGAATTTTATTTTATTTTTTTTGTTTGGTTAAGATAATATATTTTGGCTTTTACTTTGAGAAGATATTTTATGATTAGAATCTAAACAGTTTTTATTTTCATGTGATAATTCATCATTATCATCATCATCATTATCAACAGTATCATATGAATGTTGTAATTTAGCATGACGTCGTCGAAGAATTGCTCGTGCATTATTAAACCATGTTGTTACTTGATCATATGTTATAGATGATTGTTTAGCTAATTCAATTTTTTCTTGATTACTTGGATAAGGATGAGTATGATGTTCTCGTAACCATTTTTTTAAATAATCTATATTTCAAAAAAAAAAAAAAAATTTTTTTAAAGAAAAAAATATTCTACCTGTTAAAAATTTTTGTCGACTAGCAGAAAGTGCATCAATAAGTGTATGATCAATTGGTGTATCAAAATTATCTTCTTGAATAATTGATGAATTTTCTTGATTAATATCGATATCATTATTATCATCTGAAAAATATTTATCATAAAACAAAAATTAAAGAAAAGAAAAAAAAAATAATTAAATAAATATTAACCTAATGCATGATAACTATTTGATGCATTATCATTATTTTGTTCTTCTTGTTCATTATCACAATCCATAAATTCATTTTTGAGTTTTTTTGAAGTTCGAGATTCTATTTTAAAAAAAAAATATTATATAGAAATATACAGAATTCGAATTAGGAAAAAAGATTATAGATGAATTTTTGTATTCTTTCTGCACTCAAAAAAAAAAAACAAAATGTTATGCCGAATCTTTTTAAGTTCAACAGAGGTTGTGAAACTTAAAATGGTTCGCTATCTAAAATATGAAATCATTAAAGTTTAAAACAAAACCTTATAGATTTCCCATTACACTCGAAAGAATTCGTATCAGACTTAAATGGTTTCATATTTTTTTATATCAAATCCTTTTTCGTTCTACGGATCTCAAAAAAGATTTCGAGAGTGTATCCGTGTGAAAAATCATTTTAGGCTTTACAGCACCTGTCGAACTTAAAAAAAAGTTCGATATGATAACGATTCTTTTTAAAGCGTGGTGAAAGAAGAAAAGGAAGTATCTACTTCTATTTTGACTCATTCACATCTCATTCGATAGAGTATACTGCAATGAGAAAAAGTCTAAAAAAGGTTCGAACCTATGTCTAAAAATTATGGCCGTTTTCTTGAGAGCTGCATTCTGAAAAAAAAATTAAAATGAAGAGTTTCAGCGAAAATGAACATGTCCATCTCGGGATAATGATTTTTCGAGTGGATTATTGTGCCATCCTATGATAAACGGTTGTTTTTTTTTTGAAATTGAATATCTCTAGAAAGACATGTTTGTTTTCGTTAAAACTCTTCATTTTGATTTGTTTATAATGTCTGGTTCTCAGTAAAACAATCATAGCTCTTGTCGAACTCTTTTAAAGCTTTTTTTCTATCACAATATACTCTGTTGAATGAGTCATAATGGAAGTGGATACTTTCCTGATGAGTATAGTATAACAATCGAAGAAAGCTAAGGGAAGATAAAAACGAAGTTTCTGTAAGAATATGTGAGCTTTTATAAGAATTATCAAACATCGAACAATATACAAGGGACATTATGAATATGCAGCAAACAAATCTTTATATATATATATATATATGCAACAAATAGACTTTTCGATTGACTCAAATTGCCGCTAGGCATAGATAAGTTTTCGTTAAAAAGTCATTTCTATAGAGATGAATAATACTTTTTTTTTGAAATAAGGAAAAGGTCATCTCATACATTATCAAAATTGAACCTTAAACTATTAAAATCCTTCTATTTATCAATGGACTAAAGAGAGTATGAATCTTTTCCGGAATAGTAGAAAATCTTCACTTTCAAAATCAATCACTAAAAATTTCGAGAGACTATTGTTGTTTCAGTATGTTAACAATAATTCTATCATTTCTACCTGATTTTTCATCTGTTGATGATGATGTTGACACAGATGAAATACTTTTTGATAGAGGTGTAACCATTGTTACTGACTCGTTAATATCATTATTCGATCCATTATTTGGTTTTCCATTAAGTTTAATAAAATGTTTTCGACATAATTCATCACGTTGTGCAGCTATTAGACAACCAGGTAATGAACAAATTTTACGCCAAACAACACCATCAAATTTTTTTCGTGAACCATTTTCCATTTCAATAATATCACCTTTTCTTGGATTATTTATATCGACAGATGGTGGAATAGCAGCTATTGAAAGACGATGATTTGGTTTTGATATAGATATTTGAATATTAGAAGTCATAGGTACTTGTGATGGTATCATAGATGATGGAGAATTTAAACGTCGACGTTTACGTAATGAAGATGAAACTATAGAATTTGATGGAATAGATAAAGTATTTTGAGAAGATTTTAATTCTAATAAATTTTTAGCATGAAATTCATGATAATGATTTGGACATAAACTAAAATTAATAATAATAAAAAACTATTAAATTTTCAATAAATTTATTTTTGTATTTTAAACAAACCCATTTTGATATTCATGACTACCATGAACAATTATTGTACAAATTGGATTAGCACAAATACGTCGATAATGTCGTCCATCATAAATTTTTCGTATACCATTGAGTAATGTTATAATATGACCTTTTTTAGGTTCATTTTGTTTAGATAATATTTTATTAGTCAATAATATGTCATTATCATTATGAATTTTTGTATTATTATTCATTGATAAATTTCTTGTTTTTAATTCATTTAAATGAAGTTTACATAAACCTTCACTTTGACTATAATAGGAACAATTTATTTTTGAACACATACGACGCCATGATGAACCATTATATTTTTTTCTTGTACCATCTTTTAATCGTATTATATCACCTGTATTTGCTTGTGTTAATAAAGATGTATCATCTTCATGAAGAATTTGATTATTAGATGAAATATTTTTTTGAGATCTTATTGAACATTGTCGACGATTATTATTACGAATAAATGTATTATTTGTATATGATGTTGATATTAATGGTAAACTACTTTCAGATAATAAATGAAGATCTTCATCATCATCAAAATCTTGATTCATGATAATCTTAAACAATTGTTTGATAAATATATATATATATATATTTATTTAATGTATTTTTCACATATCAGTAATGCATGGCAACTTTCAAAATTTTGTTGACAATACAGTTATTTCTATTTATCTTAT